GTGCTGGGCAGAGGGAGATGCAAGAGCCAAGGTCCTGAGGCTAAAACTAGGTGTGTGTTGGAAGGACAGTGAAGGGGAGCGAGGCTGAAGGGTAGCTGGGTAAGGGGCAGAGGGGAGGAGGGTAGGGGAGAGATGCAGAGGAGCTGGATCATGAGGGCTGGAGCTTGATGCTGGCAGGTCCCTCTACTGGGACCCTCTACACCCCCTCCCCCACCAAGGGCAGACAGACATACACGCACACCCCTCTGTTCTGGCCGAGAGGTGCTTAAACAGGTGTTCTGGAGCCTGAACACCACTGTTTAGCTCCTGGCTCAGTCAAGTTCCCTTACCTCACTGTGCCTCAGTTTTCTCATTTGTGAAACAGAATAGTAATGAATAGGCCTGACCTCATGAGAATCTCGAGAGGATAAAGTGAGATGGGGCCCAGGAAATCTCAGTGTCTGGGGCATGGTGGGTGCTCCCTTGATCACATGGGTACTGGTAGCCTGGTAGGGAGGAGGGGAGGGAAGGGGCAGGGCTGCCCACCCCCCTGCTGAACCCCGTGCCCCCTCCCTGCCCACAGGCTTCTTCATCTTCCTCTGGTACTGGTCCATGCGGCTGCAGGCCCGGGGCGGGCCCTCGCCTCTGAAGAGCAGCTCGGACAGCGCCAGGCTCCCCATCAGTTCGGGCAGCACCTCGTCCAGCCGCATCTAGGCCACCAGCTACCCCCCAGAAGCCGCCTGAGGAACCAGAGATGGGGCTTGTCCTCACCACCACCTGCCACCCCCACAGCCAGGCCTGACACTTGATGGTCAGCCAGAGACTTGAGAGGAAGGCCCAAGGACCTTGGGGTGAGGGGGCTGTTGCCTTGGCAGCCAGATGCCCAGGCTCGGCCCTTTGAATTGGCCTGTGTACTACTCGGCTCTCCGGCCCCGCTTACAAGAGGCTCAGGAGTAGGACCTGTACCCCCACTGTCCTGAGGGCTGAAGGCTGGTCTTAACTCACCACCCCTGGGCCCAGCCCTCATGGCTGAGGATGGGAGGCCACAGGCCCCAAGGTCAAGACCTAGACCTGTGAGGCCTGGCACCATCCTTGGCCCTGTCCTGGCCCTGGACAGAATGTGCCAGAGCTACTGTCTCTGGTGAGCTCCACGAGGGCCCTCTGCGGTCCTGTCATTTTAGCCTGAGAGTGGTACTCAGGGCACACGAGTGTGGGGCAGAGCTTTGAGCCAGAGCCCTGGAGGAGGAGAGCCCCCTGCAGCAGCAGCTCCTCTACCTCTGAGCCCAGCACCTCAGCCTCCCCAGCCGCCATCCCTCTCCAGCCCCCGATTCAGCCCTGGGTGGGGCCCCAATTCCAGTGCTGTATTTTGGGTTGTGGTTGCCAAGAGCTGCTTGGTGCCTGCTGTAAACCTTTATCTACTGCACAGGCCTTTGCCTGCCTTTGACTCAGGCTTAGTATAGATGTTCTTGGCTGGGCCAGGTCTGTCTGTCCATCTGGGCCTTTCTATAGGCTGCCTTGCCCTTGTTCACCACTGCCAAGCCCACCCCTCACAGGGACTGTCAGCCTCTCCCAAAGCCCTCTTGTGGCAAGAACTGTGGAGCATAGCAGGGCAAATTTGCTTCTGCCCTGTACTGGGAAGACTGAGGTGTGTCTCCCCTGGTGACCCTGGCCTAGAGCCTAACATGCTCCTCAGGAGCTACAGGCACGGGATTAGGGATTGCTGGAGATCCAGGAAGACTTCCTATAGGAGGCAACATTTGATCTGGCTCTCAGCCTTAAACATGGGGAGGACTTTCTTTTTAAGCACTAGCTCATTTGTCTTTTGAATTTAAAGTAGATGTTCATTGTAGAGAATTTGGAAACTATAGAAGAAAAAAAAATTAAAATCAGCTGTTGTTAATACCTAACAAACTAATGTAAACGTTTGGAGCGCTTCCTTTTGTGCTTCTATTAAGAGTCATTGATACAAACCCCTTAGGCCCAATCAGGAAACACAGATGAGAGAAGGTGGCCATGTGTGAAAAAAATCAACTGCTGGAAACTTTATCCACCAGGACAGGCAGGGGATAAACGGTTACTTGGCGTCAGTGTTGGGAAGGCAGTGGGGAATGTTGGGGTCTGTGGTGGATTGGAGATGATTAACCCGATGCCGTGGGAGCAGCAGCCACTCAGCTCCAGCCGCCCATGCCCTGAGCAGGGATGCAGGGATGAAGGTCCATGTAGCCATACCACCCACCTTTTATGATAAATCAGGAATCAATTGTGTGGGAGCAAAATCCCTTGATTTAAAAGTCTGACTCATCCAGAAAATTCACTGGCCAAAGAAATCAGATGTGGGGACTGAATTCAGCCCTTGGATGGTCATGTGATGTACAGAACTGGTTTGTGGGCTGGAATGAAGTAGGTGGGCTGCAAGAAGCAATGATTGGACTTGCCTCCCATCACCACCTCCAGCCCAGTTCCGTCCAAGCTGCTGTGCCTGTGCCCCGTGGCACAGGCAAGGAGGATCGGAAAGCTTTCTGTGCGGCTCGGTTGCGAGAGGAGCGGCGTCTGAGCCCAGCTGTGTGCATCCAGGTCCACCCCGAGCTTCGGCCCTGCGCAGCCGCCTCCCTCATCTCCTGGCTGCTCCAGGGGGATGGCGGGCTGGGGGAAATGGACAGGATGGGTGCAAGGCCACCTTAGCCATGGAGAGTAGACTGGCAGTGCCCTCTGATGGGTGACTGTGGGATCCGGAGACCTGCGGGGACCTCGGCACGCGGCACCTCCCTGTGCCCGGTTTCTCTTCCAATGTTCTCTGCTCCTCTGTCTGTCCCGTTGGCTTTTGCCTCCACTTTCTGCGAGTCCTGAGGACAGAGGCAAGCCTGGCCCCCCAGTGCCCTGCTTGGGCAGATTGGGTGGGGGGTCAGAGCCAGCTCCCTCCTCATAGGCCTCTCAGTCTCTGCAGGAAGGTCTCCTGGAGCGCCACCCCTTGGCTAGACCTGGGGGCACGTCCCCCCCATCCTCAGGGAGGGAAGGAAAGGACCCAGCTCCTTGCTGCCCCCCCCCCCCCCCGCCCAGCAGAGAGCACTCCCTTCAAACACATTCTCCCACTTTGGAGAGCTCTTGCATTTTAGGTTTTGTGTTTGAGGCTGGCTCAGGTTGCAGGGAGGGGTCTCGGGTCGGATCCCACCTTCTCGGGACAGGTGCTGGACGGGCCCCTCGACGGCTCTTCTCGTGCTCTTCAGTGGGCCGTGGGGCCTCAGACAGCAGGACCGCTCTTCTCAGGACACAACCAGGTTTGCCTGTGGGGACGTTGCTCTGGTGTAGGAAACGGACTGAAGAGGCCAGAAGGGCAAATGCGGGCTGGGCCTGGCCAGAAGCCCGGAGGCCTTGTCCCTAGAGACAGAAGCCCACCCGGAGCCACGGGGACAAATCAGTGGTGAGAGGAGGTGGCAGAAAGTGAAGTTATAGTTCCATGTGCTGGGATTTGGAGGCCCCGGGGCTCTGTCCATGGCTCCAGGCCAGCCCCCAGCCCCGATGGGGCCTAGGAGGGGTGGCCCTCCCCCTGGCCCTGTCCAGTTATCTTTGCCACTTTGCCAGCCCACCGCCCCCTGTCCTGTTTTTCCAGGTGTGCTGGACACTCTGGGTGCCTCCTTCTGGGCCCTTCTTCACACACAGGCCCCCATGAGCCCCTTTGAGGGCCCTGGTGCTAGCATGGGTCTGCAGTGATGGTGCCAGCCAGTGGCAGTTCCCAAAGCCCTTGTCTGCCATCTCGCCTCACCTGGCTGCCGCTGGGAGGGAGGGGGAACGGGCAGTGCTTCCCATCTGGCCCCAAGTCTTCCCTGCAGAGGAAGTGCCTGGGGCACCGTGCCAGATTCCCACCTGCCACCCCCGTCCCAGGAGTGACGCCACTGACCTCCTCTCCCCAACACTCTCCAGGTCCAGGGGGCACAGAAGGGGACTGATTCCTGTCTGGACACTGTGTGGGAGGAAGGGGCTGGGTGGGTCCTCAGACCCCCATGGTAGAGCATGTGGCGCGCTGGCCCTGGAGGGGAGGGGATGCTGGGAGGATGCGCCTTCTTGGCAGGGTGTTCCTACCCTTGATCTTGCAGTGACCATGGGACCATGCCAAGGGCCCTGGCCTCATCCACACGGCTTCCTCAGAGCCACCAGATCTGGGGCCTGAGTGGTCAGCCCCTCCCCTTCCCTCGTGGCACTCCCCATGTGTGTCTGCTGCTCTCACTTCCTGTCTGGGCCACCGGTGACTGGTTGGATGATATGACAGTAATTGCACAGTACTGACCATCATAAAAAGATAATTGCCATGGCCACACCCAGTGGTCTAGACAATTCTACATACACAGAATAAGTTCTTTGCATGTCTGGGAGGCTCAGAGCAGCAGACAGCTCATCTAAGCTCACCCAGCCATGAAGGCCAGGGCAGATGTCAGCCCAGGCCTGACCAACCCCAAAGCCCATGCTCCTGCACACCCCATCCTGCTTCTCCCATTATCTAGTCTGGTCGGGGAGGGCTGGGGCCTACACAGCTGAGCCTTCTCTCTTCTGATGGTCCCAACAGACTTGGCCTTGATCTGACTCTTGTTCAAACCATAGGTATAAGTGAAGGAGCATGAGCCATCCGCATCCCTCTAGCCAGGATTGTGCCTGGCATGGTACGGATCTCCTCAAACCCCAACACGGCCCTGCCTGGCAGCCCTATTGCTATATCTGCTTTACAGAGGAAGAAATGGAGGATCAGAGAGGCCCCCAGCTTCTGAGAGGAGGGTCTGAGCTAGGTGTGTCCGACTCCAAAGCCTGTGTTCGTTGCCATTCCCCAGGGGTCTGCGTGGGTGTGGAGGCCTCTGTGGCTGTTGGACCCCAACTTCACAGCTCCCAGCAGCATCCCTGGGTGGGATCAGCAGCCCCCTCTGCAGGCTGTCACAGGGTAGGGTAAGGCAGGAGCACAGCCCAGTTCCCCACACTCACCTTTCACAACCCAGCCGATGGTGGCTGGTGGCAGAGCAGGAAGGCCAAGAAAGAGGCCACAGGAAGCTTGACGCTGCACGGGAGGGGGGGGAAAGGGGGTGGGGGCAGGCCACACCACAGAGCCTGGGACCAGAAGGACACACAGACGCAGGGCTCTGGCCAGTGAGGGCAAGACTGGCCAAGGATGGTGACACCCAGGACTCTGGAGGTCCTGCTTCTCTCGCTCCTCCTGCTCTGGGCCTCAGGTGAGCAGCTGGTTCCTCGTCCTCTTCTCCTGAGCTTGGGAGACCCAAGGGCAGAGGTGGGGAAGGGGGTATGGGTGGGGGTGTCTAGAGCATATCCATCCAAGGAGCCCACCTCAATGGCCTCTGTACCTTCTCTCACCTCGTCCTCTGAGTTAGCTGTCATCCTGATAAACTCAGATCAGCCCTGGGTCTCAGGTATCTGGTGCTTCCCACAGAGCTCCCCCACTCCCCTGCTCTGGGCTGTGGCTGCCTGACAGACCTGGCTCTGGGACACAGTGGGCCCCGGACACACTCTTATCCAGGTGGTCTCCGAGAGTCTGGGGAAGGGGGTCAGGATGCCCTGGAGGCTGAGCCCAGTTGGGGCTTGTACTGTCCTTCCTCTCCCCTTTGTCTGGCTCCCTCCACCCTGAACCCTCCCCACTAGCTCCCCTCTCCTTGTCCCAGCAATGGCCTCCCAGCCCCCAGTTTCCCGAGCCCCCACCCCCACCCCCATGGTCAACCTTTCACACAGCCTTGCTCTGATGGTTCTCCAGAGCAATATGAGGACTCTTGGCCTTGCCCTTGGCTGTCATTTCTCCCGGGAAAGCTGAGCCCACCCTGGCCCACCTGGCCAGCTCTCACTCCCTCCTTGAGCCCTGTGGCCCCCTCAGGCAGCAGGAGTGCTCCCATGTCAGTGCCCTGGGTGCTCCTTCTGGTTTGCTCTGGATTCCATGAGCCCCCCACCACCCCCTGACTGTGCCTGCCCAGCAGGGGGCCATGCTGCTTTGGGCGCCTGGACCAACCTCTTTGGGCTTCAAAGAATCTTCTCTTCAAATGTTGAGAGATTCGGCAAAGTGCAAAATTCAGTCCTTGGCTCATAAAAGAGGGTAATGGCAGAGCAGGCCGTCAGGCAAGCCTTGGCAGATCATGACCTCAATGACCGATGACCGAGGGGCTACTGCTGGTCTCAGCAGGCATCCAAGGGATGCTGGGCCCTTCACAAAAGCCATAACTACACTGGTTGGGATTCAGGGATCCCCCCTAGTGACCAAGTTTACCCTATGGTAATGCGGCTGCTCCAGCTGGGGCAAAGCGCCAACCATTTGAATAGTGTGAGGAGCCTTGAGAGGCATACACATGGAGGTAAGTCTCCTTCTTTTGTGGACATTTATGGGTCACTCACCATTCATTTGTTGATTCATTCACTCCACACTGATGGGGACTTCCGTGCTGTGCCAGGCCCTGTGCTGAGGAGGCGGTGGCTAGGGCACAGAGAAGCAGGCCCTTGGCGGTGAGCCGTAGGGAGGTGCAGGGACTGACTTCCAGCCCACTCCCCACTCCAACCTGGATGGAGGGGCTCCCTGAAGGTTAGCTTTGGGGGCGGAGCAGGATAGGGGAGGGTAGTGCAGGTCTTCAGGTGGGGACTGACACCGTCCCACCCAGGCCTGGGTCAGGCTCTCTCTGGGCTAAATGCTTTCAATGTCTTCAAAAAATAATCACAAAAAAGATATTTAATCATCTTTTCTGTACCTTCCAAAAGCTTCACATAAAGGACTGCACCAAAATTTCATGGTGGACTGGGAGGGAGGCTCTGCTAACACCGGTCAGGGTGCCACCTGCACCAAGCACCCACTTGTAACCCCTTGGGCACACAGAGCACTAGGGTTATCCAGAGAATAGCACCTCCCCACCCATCCCCTCCTCTCTCTTTTTCTTTCCCTCTTCTTCCCTCTTTTCTCTCCTTCTTTCTCCTTCATTTAAAAAGCAAACATGGATTATATTATATACATGCTTATCCAGCATTTACTTCTTTCCATTAAACAGTGTCATGAATATCTTTTTTAAAAAAAGATTTATTTGAGAGAGAGAGAGAGAGAGAGAGAGAGCATGCGCACATGGGGGAAGAGGTATAGAGAAACCATCTCAAGCAGACTCCCTGCTGAGCATGGAGCCCCATGCAATTTAAGGCTCGATGTGGGGCTTGATCTCAGGACCCTGAGATCATGACCTGAGCCAAAACCAAGAGTAAGATGCTCAACTGACTGAACCACCCAGGCGTCCCTTCATCTACCCTCTTTAAAATTCATACATTGGGGCAGCCCCGGTGGTGCAGTGGTTTGGCTCTGCCTGCAGCCCAGGGCATGATCCTGGAGACCCTGGATCGAGTCCCACATCGGGCTCTCTGTATGATGCCTGCTTCTCCCTCTGCCTGTGTCTCTGCCTCTCTCTCTGTCTCTATGAATAAATAAATAAATAAATAAATAAAACTCATACATTTTGATCCAGAAATTCTTAGGATAGTAATGTTTTCTATGATTTCTTAACACAAGCTGACATAAGCAGTGTTGCTCAAAATAGGAAAATAAAAGAGTGATGGTCCTAAAAGTCCACCAACAGAGGACCAATTGAAAAAGCATTACAACACACACCTAGGGGTATAGTGTGCAAGCGTATCGAGGAGAGGGATCAGTATGTGCTAATGTGAAAAGCTCTTCAAGATATCTTGCTAAGTGATCATGTTCATGTAAATTTTCAAATGATTGACATCAAAATACCTGCCTATATATCAACAAGTTCCACAAAGTTGTGCAGTGAGCTGCTACTGGTGGCGAACTCTGGAGTGTGAGCTGGGAGCTGCAGGGACTTTTACTTTTCGTTTTACGTCCTTGTGTATGTTTTTTTAAAAAAACTGTGCATGTAGGAATTTTGTTGAGAGATAGGTAACTGTGGATATATGCATACATCCAATGTGAATACACAAATACGTAAATAGTTTTACTATGAGATTCTCACCTCCTGGAGTAAATGATACTGGCTCTTTGAACACTTACTATGAGCTATATCCTTTATGTCTGTGGTCTCCAATCTTTCTCCAAACTCCCAAGGAAGGTATTATTAGTCCCATTTGACTGATGAGAAGATGGAGCATCATAGAGTCTAAGTAACTTGCCTGAGGTCACACAGGTAATAGTGACTCAAAGTTTCCATTCCATCCCGCATACCAGGTGAAAGGGGAACTGAATGGGAAGCCCCAGTCTGGTTTGTCGTCCTGGTGCTGTCTCCAACTAGCTGGTGATCTTCCTCAGTCACTATGCTCCAAGAGCCCTCAGTTTGCTGTGTTCTCCTCTACCCCAGAAGGTAGCCTGTGAGAGTTGTAATGAGAATGTGGGAGAATGAGGCAAACTGAGACAGAATATGCCCAAGGATTATACCATGAGGCCACAGTTGCAAGGGCTCTGGAATGTCTGATATGGAACAACTGTAGAAAGCCTAGCAGACTCCCTGGAGGAGACAGCAAAGGATAATAGGTCTAACATATGAATCCTTTAATCTACAGAACCATGTGCCAAGCTCTTTGTATATATTTTCCCCAAAGTATCCTACTGAGCCTATGAAGTAAGGGGGTCATATCTCCTTTTGCCTTGGAAACAGAGGCCCAGTGAGAGTGAGTCCAGCTCAAGTGCACCTATGGATGGAGCTGGAATTCCAGGCCACATCACCAGACCCTGAAGCCTGAGCATCTTACCCCCCAACCCCCTGCCCTTGCTGCCTCCCCACCCAGCCCACTCATACCTTCTGCATCCTCCCTTCAGGTATGGAAAATTCTAGGAAGGAACTGAAGAACGAACCTGAGCAACCGAGAAATGTCTGCCTGGGGCTCATCAATAAGGGCCAGTATGAATCTTTCCACCTGGGGAATACTGCTAAGTGCTTTTCGAAGTGCACGCAGTCAAACACTGAAGCCTGTGACCTGGAAAACTTGCAAAGGTAAGAGGGTCCTCTGAGCTAGGGCAGGAATCTGGGGTTCCTTTGAGGGTGGCAGGGAGGCTGGTATAAGGGACAGAGCTCTCCTGAAAATACTGCTCTCATCTCACCTTTCCATCCTGTTGTTTGATATCCACATTCCCTCTGGTCCATTCACTGACATCTTTCTCATCAGGAGAAGCTGAGATCAATCAGTCCCTGTCCTACCACTGTGGAGGGTCAGACATGGGCCCAAATGATGATTCTAGAATGCAATCACTCGAGAGGGTGGACAAAGTGCCAGGTTAGCTCAAAGGAGGGACGCTGATCAAGGCTTCACAGAGGAAGCAACCCAAGAAAAGACTTTAAAGACTACATAGGAGTTTTCTAGTTAGATCCAAACAATGTTAGAGAATAGGGCATCAGAACTTCAGTGAGTATTGGGGGATAAAGACAGTGCTCTGAAATGTGAAAGGGTGAAGTCCTGGGGAGGGCGACAATGGGGAGATGGGTTGGGTAGGAGATAGATTAGAAATAAAAGCAGGAACCAAAGTGTGAAGAGTCGTGTAAGCTATACCAGCATGGATGGGGGCAGAGCAAGGATGTATTTTAAGTAGAAGAAGAGCATGGCCAATTTTGCATTTTAGAAAGATTGCTCAGGTTTCAGGGAAGGACTTAAGGATGGTGATGCAGAAGGAGGCATGACCAGGTAGGATGCAACCAGAATGGTCTGCGTAGGAGTCAAGGCTGAACCACTACCACCACCACCAATTGGCACTGTGAACCAGGAAAGGAAGGATGGATTAGAAATTTAGATGATGTAGAATCAATAAAACCAAGAGGCCAAAAATTTAAGAGACATTGGGTTGAGGGAGAAGAAGGGGTGTGTAGAATACATCTCTAAGAATCAGCTTCAAAAATATTTTTGCCTCTCTCCCCTCCTATCCACTCCAGTCAAGGCTGGCCATAATTCTAAGATACTCAAAACAAGTTCAGATTTGGCACTCAGTTGGGGAGCCCTGGGTGGCTCAGCAGTTTAGTGCCTGCCTTCGGTCCAGGGCATGATCCTGGAGTCCTGAGATCGGGTCCCACATCAGGCTCCCCACATGGAGCCTGCTTCTCTCTCTGCCTCTCTCTCTCTCTTTATGTCTATTGTGAATAAATGGATAAAATCTTTAAAAAAAATTTGGCACTCAATACATGTTTGTTGAAAAAAAAAATGAATGAAAAGTCTGTGTCCTCAGGCTCAGCGTTAGGATAGCAATCTGATTGACCTACCTAATTTCAGTGGCCTAAAAACACTGCCGTCCCCTCCTGAAGTTGCCTTCAGCAGCTTCTTAATTCTGGGAAGCTGTTCTGGGAGCTCCTTTTTGTGCTGCCTTATGGTGGGGAAAAGCATTTTGGAAAAATCAGGGGCTTCTGGGGTCAGAAGATGTGGATTCTGTTCCCAAGTCTATCACTTAACCAAGTTACCTTCTTTGTCTTCACAACCCCATGAGGTAGGTCTGGTCATCCACCCATTTCAGCATATGAATTTGCAGGGAGGGCACAAACATTTCATCTCTAACAGGGGCTATTATGAATAAAGCTGCCTTGAATATTTCCGTACATGTTTTTTCATGAACATATGCATTCATTTCTCTTGGGTAAATGCCTAGAAATGGAATTGATGTCAAAGGTAGACATATGATGAATTTTAGTAAACATTGTCAAGTTTTCTGTGGCAGCTGCATCAGTTTACACTCCCACTGGCAACATGTGGGAGTCCAAGTTACCCCACATCCTTGAGACACTTGGTATCGCCATTTGTTTTAATTTTTACCATTCTGGAAAGGTTATAGTGGTATATCATTTCTTTTTATTAATTTTGAAAGCTTTATGAAGGTACAATGTATGTATCATCCAGTCTATACATCGTTAGAGTACTGCTGAATAATTTATCGTGTATTATGCAGGGCATGCAACCATTATGACAATCACTTTAAAAACACTTATATCAGACTCCAAAGCACCCTCATGCTCATTTGCAAGTAATCCCTCCTCACATACCCAGCCTCAGTCAACCACTGATCTGCTATCTACTCCACAGATTTGCTTTCTCTGGGTATTTTCTATAAGGGAATCATACAACATACTATCTCTTGAGTCTTGTTTCCTTCACTTACCATGTTTTTCAATTATATTCATATGTTAGTATGTACCAATAGTTTGGGTTTTTTTATTACTGGTTAATATTCCATCATGTAGACATACTACATTTGTTTCTTTATTCATCAATTGATGGAAATTTGGATTGTTTCTAGTTTGTTGATTGTGAATAATGCTGCCGTGAAAATTTGAATTCAAATCTTTGTAGACATATGTTTTCATTTCTTTGGGGTAAATACCTAGGAACAGAATTGCTGGTATATCCGATATGCTTAGCTTTATAAAAAAACAAAACAAAACAAAACGCCCAACAGTTCCTTAAAGTGTATCATTTGCTTTCCCATCTGCATATTTTAGTTTAAAATATAATCTAAAAAGGTACAGCTTAGTCCTATTACATTTTTGCAACATTGTCAGTCTTTCTGGTTATAGCCACAGCTGAGTGTCAGTGATGTTTCACTATGGTTTTAGTTTGTGTTTCACAAATGACCAGTGATGTTGAGCAACTTTTCACATGCTGCTTAGCCATTTGTATCTTTTCTTTGGTGAAATGACCACTCAAATATTTCCCCTTTTTTTTAAATTGGGTTTTGTCCTCTCATTACTGACTTTTAAGAATTCTTTCTGAATACAAGTCCTTTATCAGATGTACGATTTGCAAATATTTTCTCTCAGTGTGTGTCTTATTTCTTTGTTTTCTTAATGACATCGTTTGGAGATCAATAACAATTTTGAGGAAGCCACATTTAAATATGTGTTTGTGTTTGATATCGTATCAAAGAAATGTTCATCCAGCTACAAATTTTCTAAGTTTTCTTCTATACGTGTATGTGGTTTTATTTATTTATTTTTAAGATTTTATTTATTTATTCATGAGAGACACAGAGACAGGCGGAGGGAGGAGCAGGCTCACCCAAGGAGCCCGACATGGGACTTGATCCCGGGTCTCCAGGATCACACCCAGGCTGAAGGCGGCGCTAAACTGCCGAGCCACCGGAGCTGCCCAAGTGTATATGGTTTTAGCTCTTATTATTAGGTTACATTTGGAGTTAATTTTTTATACACAGCATGAGGTAAATGTCTAACAATATTATTATTATTACTGTTAATTTTTGCATTTGGATGTCTAATTGTTTCGGCACCATTTGGTGAAAAGAGTGCTTTCTCCATAGAATTGCCTTTGAGAGGGCATTCCACTGATGAGCTAAATGGGAACTCCTGGATGATCTTCTCCTTACCAAGATAGTAAACTAGAAACCAAAGTACATCCCTAGGGAGAACTGTAGGGATTAATGCCGCCATGAAAGATTTGAGAGTTGCAGGGGTGGTGATGCCTACCTTAATTCCATTTAACTTACCAGAAGTCAGGTGGGTGGTGGAGAATACCTGTGGACTATCAAACATTTAATCAGGTGGTGAGTCCAATTGTAGCTGCTGTTGCAGAAGAATATGTTTCCTCGAACAAATCAACACAACTCCTAGCAATTGTTATGCTGCATGGCTTATACATTGTTCTCTATACCAATTTTCAAGGGATTTTACTTTTACCTGGCAGGGCCAACAGTATACTGCCACAGTTTCCTCAGGGCTCTGTCAATTCTCACAATCTCTGTCATCATTTAGTTCACAGAGACCTTATTAATCTTGACACTCTACTGAGCATCACTCTGGTCCATTATATTGGCAACAACATGTTGATTTGATCTGATGAGCAGAGAGTAGCAAGTAGTTAAGATGCCTTAGGAAAACAAATGTGAACTAGACAATAGGAAATAAACTCCACAAGAGTTCAGGGGCCCATCACCACAGGGAATTTTCTGGGATTTCAGAGGTCTGGAGTACATCAAGTTATCCCCTCCTGGGTAGAAGGCGAGTTATTGAACCTCACACCACTTAACAATTTTTTAAAAAAGGGACGGTGTGGAAAACACTTATGCAAACATGAACCAAGGATATCTGAGTAGCTATGTTAATATCAGACAAAGAAGATGATGTTGAAATGGGTGTCAACTTTGTCATTGAAAATTCAACTTTAGGGCAGGGCAGCCCCAGTGGCTCAGCGGTTTAGCGCTGCCTTCAGTCCAGGGTGTGATCCTGGGAACCTGGGATCGAGTCCCGTGTCGGGCTCCCAGCATGGAGCCTGCTTCTCCCTCTGCCTGTGTCTCTGTGTCTCTCATGAGTAAATAAATATTTTTTTAAAAAGTCTTAAAAAAAAAAAAAGAAAACTCAACTTTACATCTATGCCTTAGACTTTTTGGCTGTGTTACATTTCACAAATAAAATTATTTTTTAAAGTGCTCTGAGAACCAGATCAGGAAATCTTCCCTCAAGAAAGTGAATTGTGTTGTTTTGTGAGGCCAAAGAATTTTTAAATGCATAGATACATATATAGATACATATATATGTATCTATATATAGAAATACAATTAAATGCATATATATATATACAATTATAATTCACTATCTTATTTGGTAACAATGAAAGTCACAATACTTCTTTGTTTAGATTTTTAAAAGATAAATAAAAGCTAGACTTTGTGTAGCTCAATCAATGGATTTTGACCATCTCATCTGGCTGTTTCTGATTGGCTGGTGTTCTAACTGCCTGCCCAACCCGAGCACATTTGCACATATTTGCATGGTTTACTCTTTACATTGTACAATGTTTTTTCTGTGGTTTCTCTGAGTTTCTTCCATTGGTAGCTGCAACTGTTCAAAAGTGATATGAAAATACAAGTCTCCCTTTTGTCTCCCTGCCAAGCCCTCCATAGCTTATTCCTTCCAACACCAGTTCAGTTCCCATAAGTCATTTGCTGTTCAGTTCAGCCTTCAAAGGGCAAATTCCCAATATGCAGTTAGCACTCAATAAGTGTGAGTTGGCACTCCTGCCGCACAATTATCACCCTGCAGCTTGAGATACTTAGAGGAATGTATAAAGAAGATATGTAAAGACCAATCAGTACATGAAAAGACACTCAACATCATTAGTCATTAGGGAAATGCAAATCAAAACCACAATGAGATATCACTTCACACTAGGATGGCTACAACTGCACACAAAACAAGACAAAATGGGGCAGCCCGGGTGGCTCAGCGGTTTAGCGCCGCCTTCAGCCCAGGGCGTGATCCTGGAGTCCTGGGATCGAGTCCCACGTTGGGCTCCCTGCATGCAGCCTGCTTCTCTCTCTGCCTGTGTCTCTGCCTCTCTCTCTCTCTCTCTCTCTCTCTCTCTCTCTCTCTGTGTCTCTCATGAATAAAAAAATTTAAAAAACAAAAAACAAGACAAAATGAAAAACGTCAAGCACTGGCATGGATGTGGAGCAATCGGCCCCCTCAAACATCAGTGGTGAAAATGTCAATTGGTACAGCTGCTGTGAAGAGCAGTTTAACAACTCCTTGAAAAGTTAAACATAGAATGACCATATGACCCAGAAATTCCACTCCTAAGTATATACCCCAAGGGATTCCAAACAAGTCTTCAAGCAAAAGCTTAGACTTGAGTACAAGCAGCCCTGTTCACAATAGCCAGAAAGCGGAAAGGACCCAAATGTCCATCTGTGGATAAATGTATCCACAAAATGTGGTCTAGTCACACAATAGCATATTATTCACCCATAACAAGGAATGGAATACTCACACATGCTTATGCAATATAGATGAATCCTGAGAATGTACAAAGTGCAAGAAGCCAGACATAAAGACCAGATGCTATATAATTCCATTTATATGAAACTTCTAGAATAGGCAAATTCATAGATTAGTGTTTTCCAGGGCCTGGGAGAAAAGAGGAAAGATGACTGCTTCATGGGTATAGGGTTTCCTTCTGGGGTGATGAGAATGTCCTGGAACTAGATGGTGGTGGTGGTCACACAACATTGTGAATGTATTTAATGCCACTACATTGGGTAGTTTAAAATGGCTAAAATGCTAAACTTTGTGTTATATATATTTTGTTACAAAAAAAGATAAACATATAAACTACTCAGAAGGACCACTGGCAGGAATCCCTCAGAACAAGCCCAGCTTGCTCCCACATCACCCTTCTTCTCTTACAGTGATTCCAGGGTCCTTCCTTTAATATTCTGGGTCACACCTCCTAACCCAAGAGCCTGATGGTAGCTGCTCATGACATCTCTTCTCCTGACATCCAGGCTGGGGGCCGGGTGAGGCGGTGATGTAGCCTGCAAGACCCTACCTGCCCCCTGACCCCTGGCCCTTTGCAGGTACTGGCTGAAATTTGAGGACCATCTGGTGGAGAGTCAGTCGGGCATAGTGAATATGTCTTTTTTGAAGGCTGCTGTCCAGAATGTCAGCACCAACATCTCAGAAGACCTGCTCTTCTCTCTGACGCCTTCCCAGGTGAAGCGTTCCCTATCTCTGTTGGCCAGTTCAAGCTCCATTTCCCTCTATTTGATAGCACTCTGTCACTTAGCTAATGGGTGCTAGCGTGTTGCTTGGATGGGTGGATCCTGGTGACAGATGACCCAGGATATGAGACTGTTATAACTTAGAAGGTCACCAAATTGAGAATCCGGGTATCTGGGTTCCAGTCCTGGACTCCCCATCGCCCCACTAGGTGTCTTCCAGGAAATCCCTTCCCCTCTCTGGGCCCCAGAGCCGTCATCTCTGAGATGAGCTCTACGGCTTCTCCACGGTCTGAGGTTCCCTCCTGCTCTTCCTCCCAGGGAACACAGCTCCACAGCTCAAGGCACACTTCACCATACAGCAAAGGGCCAAAAAGGCAGACTCTAGATTTATGTGGGTCTTGATTCAAATCCCAGCTCTGCCCTTTACCAGCCAATCTGATGTTGGGTGCATGACTGAAATTTTCTGAGTTTTTGTTGCTCCATCTGTAAAATGGTGACAGTCTTGCCTACTTTCAAGGTTATGGGGGAGAACAAACAAGATAAGGCACAGCGAGTGCTGGGGGCAGGGAGGGCAGCCTCTGTTAAGGAGTGAAGCTGAGGGTGGAAGCTCAGGCAGCAGGCAAGTTGGCTGTCATCGAGGTACTTCTAGGTCTGTCTGGAAGAGGGGACATGAAAGATAAGACCTTTATTGATGTGACCCAAGCGGCTGAGCCCTCGGCATGTGTCACCTGCTGGCCCCAGAGAACACCCCTGTGTCCTTTGACAGGGGTCCAGACTGGGAAGGAGAAAGTTGGGTCCCTCGCGTCAAACACTTAGTTCCTACTGTTCCAGCGCCCATGGGAGGCCCTTGAGGCAGGACTTGGTCGGACCAGGCTGCAGCCCCAGTGGACCAGTGAGGTCAAGAATGAACACATCACTCATGAAATTTATTTTACTATTTTAACCATTGTTTGCTTTTTACAGAAGTTGTTGGGAAGGAATCACATTCCGCATGAAGTTTTTGTATTTTCTGCCTCTGCTCTCGCTGTCTCTCTTCCTGCGGGCTTTATTCTTTCCAGTTATTCCCAGGTCAGAAGCCAGACACGTGACCCTAAAGCCCGGTGTAAGCACAGGGGCTGGCAGGATACTGGCCTAATGTGCACCACAGCCAACCCTCCCTTGTACTTGCAAACTGAACTTCAACAGCCCACTTTGAGCCTGACCCTGATGGGCGGTCACACAGGCACCGTTTAGCCCCATTCTCCATAGCAGGAAGACTGAGCATTCCATGAGGGCTGTGGCTTGTCCAAGGGTTCACAGCCTGGACAGAGCCAAGCCTGCAGCATGCCCCAAGGTGTCCTGCTTCTCAGAGTGATGCCTCTCTACCCAGTGCCTCAGTTTCCCTTCCCAAGTGGGGGAATGGCAAGAACACTGTGTTGAGGGCTGTGCTGGGTTTTGGAACCCTGGGGTAAAGATGGGAGCTCCGGGGTCTGTGGTTACAGGTTCCAAGGCAGATGACAGAGGATGAGCATGATCATCCCGACAGAGTCCGGCTGCCCAGGAGCCTCTTTGAATCCCTGCAGGGCAACAGGTCGGAAGTCTGGCTGGCCATCACCATCCTGGACATCGGTCCGGGGAATCTCTTCAAGGTGAGAAGAGGCCTGGTGGAGGCTTAAGGCAGCTCAGCAGGTCCATGTTTGGTTCACCAGGGACCTGTGCCCTAGCCTGCCTTCTCTGGAGTCTTCGCTGTGGGTCCCAGTGGGGATGGAGGAGGTGACGAGCCTCCGGGAGAGCATTTCTAAATCAGCCCGAGGTCGTCCGACTTCTGTCTTGGGAGTCTGTGTGCTGCAGACTCACACTGGTCACATACACTCAGACTTTTGGATCCCACACACCAGTGTCCTTGGACTTGTATGTGTATCCCAAGCGTTCAGGTCCTCTTGTGCGCCTTGTGCATGTACGAACACGCATATTCTTTCATACTCCTGCTGCACATGCAATCATGTGTGTTCATGTGTGATGTGTCCACAAAAGCAAGCGTACCCCTGTTCTTGCAAATGTGCACCAGGCATGCATCCTCAGAGGTGTGTGATCCACTTGTGTATGTAGAGCGCACCATGAGTGCTGGTGTGGGCAGGTGCTCACCCACCACAGGCTTCCACCGCCCTCCATTTTGGACTCATCTTTCTTCCAGCCCTGCACTCCTCCAGCTAAAAGGGCAGAAGGCTGTTGGGTGCATGGCTTTGTGACCAGTTGGCCAGAGGGTAGGGCCCACTGTGATCCAGCCCAGGCAGGAGACTACAGGGAACGGCTGGAAGACCATTGCCCATGACCCCTTGGCCCCCTGCTCCCCTAGCCACAGACTTTACTCTCCAGGCAAGGGCCATGGGTCCTGGAGGTTCCCAAGAACCCCAACAGCGTGGGTTGGGACACCCCCTTCTGAAGTCCATCTTTGCATCTCACTCCACAGGGGGCCCAGCTCAGCCCGGAGGACAGCAGCCACGTGTTGAACAATCGCCTGGTGGGCTTGAGTTTGGGCCGTATACCTGTTGGCCCACTGGTTGAGCCTTTGGAGATCACCTTCTCCCACCAGCACCTACCCCCTGTGAGCCCCCAGGCCTGGCAGCTACTGAGGGACAGACAGGCGGGTGGTCACCCACAAGCATATGGGCAGACATGTGAAGGACTCTGCACCTCCCATCCTTCCACATCCACCCAGAAGAAGCCATTAAGACCATACACACAGTTGTACCCAGGGACACATGCCACCTGTGCATAAATATCCACTTGACCCCAGACACCCTGCCACTCACGCTTACAGAGGTGCACATAGGACCTGGCAAACCCATGAGCACCCACACGGAATTGCACATCTGCCCACTTACATACTCCCCTAAAGGCGTGAGTACATAGACATGCAACCCTCCTACCCACAGCCCCACACCATGTCCACATGTCTCACACATGGATCCATGGTTCACCAAATGGTGCATTTCATGTTCCTGTGTGGTCTATGGGGTGAGCCTTGCTTTCTACCCAATGCACACTCAGGACAGGGTGGGGGGCATGCTGTCCTCTCCCTTCTCCCCGCACTCTCTGCTCCCCTTTCCCAAGCTCCCCTTGCCTCCACCCTGACTCTATTCTCTGGTTTCAGAACATGGCCCTCAGCTGTGTATTCTGGGATGTGACTAAAGGTAGGTAGGGAGGGTGTGGGCTCCTTTGGGGGGCAGAGCTCTGCTGGTGGGGCCCCTCCCCTCCCTTCCTTCCTCTATGTTCCCCTCCTCTCCGGTCTCTTCCACTTCCCCATATTCCCATATACTGTCTCATGTTCCCCTCCCTTCCGCTCCAGGGTCAACAGGACGCTGGTCTTCCACGGGCTGCTCCACGGAGCTCAGAGCCAAGAGGACCATCTGCCGCTGTAACCATCTGACCTTCTTTGCTTTGCTGCTGGTAACAGCCCACCCCCTCCCTGATCCCAGCAGCTCTGGAGGCAACAAAATTTCCTGGCAGGGGCCAAGGCCTTTGGGATGTGTGAGGCCTGGCCTCCAACTGATGGGGTCCCGGTTGGGGGGGGTCACCCACAGAGGCCGATCTTGGACCAGGCCACCGTGCAAGCCCTCGTTCGCATTTCCCGGGCTGGCTGTGGAGCCTCTATGATCTTCCTGGCCTCCACTGTCATCCTCTACGCTGCCCTAAGGTGGGTGACTCCCCACCCCCACCCCATATCTCCCTCTTGTCCCCAAGGGTGAGAGCAGAGCAGGCTAGAAAGCACCCTGATTGTGCAGCATTATTTACACTGATATCGTCTCCAAACCTTATTTTCTTCATCTATAAAATGGGGTTGGGGGTTGAAAAGTGTCAGAGCTATTTCAGTCAGAAGTGGCAGAAACTAAATTCACTTAAACAAAATGGGGACTATGTGGTTCATATAATGGACCCACTTTAGGCATGGTTGGGTCCAGGGGCTCACAAGATGTCTCCAGGACTTGCCCTCCCTCTGCTTCTCCCAGCTGCTTCCTCCTTTGTCAGCTGCGTCAAGCAGCTTCGGCACACTCAGGGGTCTTGGCGAGTCCCGGACTTGCATCACAGCTTCTCAGCTGTCTAGGCAACAGATTTTCTATATGAAGTTCCAGCATTGAAGTATTTTTTCTTTGACATTTTATTTTGAAATAATTATAGACTAACAGGAAGTCATAAAAATACTGCATGGAGTTCCCTGGTTCCTTTATCCAGCTTTTCCCAGTGATAACATTTTATATAACTGTAGTATCACATCAAAACCAGGAACTTGACATTGGTACAGCGCTAATAGCTAGAATACAACTTCCACAATTCTTTACATGCATCTTTGTGTGTGTGTGTGTGTGTGTGTGTGTGTGTGTGTGTGTGTGTGGTTCTATGTGATTTTATCCCATGTATACGAGAGCTGAGTTTTGCTGGTCCAACATGGACCATGCACCCATGACTGGACAGGTTACTGTGGTCAAGGGATGAATTACATTGATCGGCCAGGCCAGGTCATGTGCCTGCTTCAGGTTTGAGCTCACAAAGGGTCAACCTCAGCCAAACTTCAGGGCTGAGAGCCGGAAAGGGTGTCCTCAGGGAGACCTAGGCTGTTTGCAGGTGGAGGAGTGGGTACAGGACAGGCAGAGATCACTGTGGCCTGTGCTCAGGCTCTCTGGGTCCAGGCCAGGGCTGAGGATCCCCTAGGAACTGTCAACTTAAAGGAGCCTGTGGAGCAGCCCCACGCCCCACCCCACCCTGTACCCCAGCTTGACCCATGACTGAACTGGAGCAGCCCTGGGGTCTCCCAACCCAGTTTGGGGCCCACTCACTACCCTGCTCCATGTGCCTCTTTGCCTCTGTCACCTTTCAGCTGTGGGCTGTAGCCCCCATTCGCCTCACCCCTCCACTCAGACTAAACTATGAGTGTGAGCAGTGTCATTCCTACCCCCAACCAAGCCCGGGCCTGGAACACAGCCCCCACCTCCAGCAAGCTGAGCATGATTTGCCAGCCAGCTGCTCTGCTGGACCTTGTGAGCTGGGCTTGGAGTGCCAGGAGGATGATGTCGAGGGTGGGCACGGGAATCTCAGGTTAGGTGGACATGATCCCTCACATTTCTGTCTGGGAACCCTGGGCTCCCATCCCTCCAGTGAGAGCCCTCAGGATCTGATATGCTAGGAATGCAGAGTGGGATCTCCACAGAGAGGGAGCGAGTCCCCGTCCGTCTCTGGGCCTCACCCACTACATCCTAGCCTCCTGCATTGGTGCAGGTCTATCCTCTCACTCAACCAATGCACACAGGGCCCCCTCCTGCCCTAGGGGAGGGAATGGGAGGGGGCTATGGTGCGCTGCAAGAAACCTCCAAATCAGCCTGGGAGAAGTAGCATCCAGAGACAGCTTCCTTAGAAGGAAAGGCCCGGGGAAGTTTTGAAGGCAGAGTAGGAGAAGGCACTGAGAGCAGAGGGCAGAGCAGAGGCAAAGTTTGGGAGGTGCAGAAAAGCAGAATGCATTCAGGGAATTGTGGGGTGTGTGGTTTGGCTAGAGCATGGAGTCGAGGGGCGAGGCCAGCAGGACGTGGACCTCCCTGCCCCAAGCACCCAGGAGAGAGTTCCTGAGCCTGAACCTGATGGCACTCTCACTCTGGCTGCGGGCAGGGGTGGACCAGAGAGGTGGGGTAGGGAGGCTGGGGTGCAGATCCTCCCCAAGAGAAGCCGCGGCCTGGCCTCCCACCACCTCTCATTGGCCTGTCTCACCCCAGGTTCTACCGGCAGAGGTTCAAGTCAGAAGATGCCCCCAAGATCCACGTGGCCTTGAGCATCAGCTTGTTTCTCCTGAATCTTGCCTTCTTCATCAATGTGGAGCGTGACCGTGTGCCCTTGGATACCGTCTGCTGGATCCAAGGGGCCATCTTCCACTACTTCTTACTCTGCACCTTCACCTGGATGGGCCTAGAAGCCTTCCACCTCTACCTGGTGGTCATCAAGGTCTTCAACACCTACTTTGGGCACTACTTCCTGAAGCTGAGCCTTGTGGGCTGGGGTAGGTGCAGCTTGGATGGGCAGAAAGCATGGCTGGCCCAGGGACGGACTGGAGTGGGAACTGCCTAGGGCAGAGAGGTGGCTCCCTCTCTCAGTCAGGCTCAGGGCTTGCGGGGTGGGCAGCAGAGGGGATTTGGGGGGAGGACAAGCCAAGGGAGCCCCAGCAATGCCATACCTCCTGCCATTGTGCACAGGCCTGCCCGCCCTAATCGTCATTGGCACCGGGAGTGCCAACAGCTATGGCCGCTATGCCATCTACGACAAGATGAATGGTACCACACTGCAACTGTGAGTGGTGGCTGTGGGAGCAGGGGTGACATCAGGTCCCTGGCTGCACAGATCGGGGCCAACGGGATGTGGGGATTACAGGGAATCCTGGAAAGAGAGACTGAGGAAGTCAAGGCAAAGGATCTTCCAGGTAGCTCATGGTCTGGAGGGGTAAACTGAGGACTGGAAGGAGGAAGTGCAAGGAGACAGGGGTTCTGACTGGGGGAGAGTGAGCTGAGGCAGGATGCCTTGCTCTAGCCTGGGCCATCACCAGCCCACATGGCACCTTTGGGTAAATTTTAAAAGGTATCCACCCCCGTTCTACCAACCTGCCATGCCAGGGGCTCAGCCTGGTAAGTGGAAGGGGTGCTGGATTTCAGTTCCACGCGTCCCTTCAGCCAGATGCCCTTGCGTAGGACACAACCTGCCCAACGTTAGCGGCAGCCCTAGTTCTAGTGAGGTTCTGCCTCTGAATTGCCGTGTGGGCTAGCTCAGCCCCTCCCAGGGCCTCAGTCTCCTCATCTGTACAATGGGGGGGGGGGTGATGGATGTGCTCTTCTGGGCCTTTCACCTTGCAGTGCAGGAAACGTGGGGCTGAGCTGAGCCTCCCCAAGTGTGCCAGTCCCAGGCCCGTGGCTCTGTGCTAAGAGGGGCTGGTGGGGTCTCGGTCCTGTCCCCGGAGCCTCACACTCAGGGGCCACGGGCTGGGGAGGTAACATATGTGCACGCGGTGGCTCAGGTGGGAACTGCAGTAAACCGGCAGTCAAATACCCATCTACTGTCCCTCAGGAGGACATCCACAGAGCTGCCAGGTGGATGGTTTTACAAGAAAGGCAGAAATCCAGATGCTGATGCCAAAGCTCCCGCTTTTGAAAGGGTGGTCATTAATTCAATTGTTTTACAACATAATGTGGGGTAAACAAAACGTGTCTTTGGGGCTAAATTGGCCTCTTTGCACTCGCTGGTCTGAAGAGATGGCAGACTGGAGCCTCCTGATAGCCCCTTCCCAAGAGAATGGAGGACTGGTGGGTGGCAGTGGGGGGGGAGGTGTCTTTTTGGTCAGAGAAGATCAGTTAGAGGAGATTGCCTGGGGCTTGCTGGGCAGGGGCACTTCTCCAGTCCCAGTGGCCACCTACCTCCTCCAGGTGCTGGTTCCATGAGAAGACGGCTCTCTCTGCCCTCTACATCACTGTCCATGGCTACTTCCTTGTCACCTTCCTCTTCAGTGCTGTGGTCCTGGGCCTGGTGGCCTGGAAGATCTTCACTCTGCCAAGTGCCACAGTAGGCAGGGAGCAGGGGCTGAACTGGAAGGGCGTCCTCACTGTGCTGGGCCTCTCAAGCCTCGTGGGTGTGACCTGGTGGCTGGCCATCCTCACGCCCCTGGGCCTGTCCACCATCTATGTCTTTGCCCTATTCAACTCCCTGCAAGGTGAGGCTCCTGGACTGGGGAGGGGATGGGTTTCCTCATTGGCAAGGGGGGGTTTTGGGAGGATAGGGAGGGGACAAAAAACAGGATTCCACTCAGGCTGGCTCAAATCAAGGATACCGACTTCAAATATCCAGGCCTATTCCAAGGACCCCAAGGCGGGAAGGATCTAGGGAGGGTGGCCTGATTCAGTCTGGTCCCTGTTCTTAGGAAAGTCCAGGGATGTCTGGGTGGCTCAGCAAATAACCATCTACCTTTAACTCAGGGCTGATCCCAGGGTCCTGGGACCAAATCCCCCATCAGCCTCCCTGCAGGGAGCCTGCTTCTCCCTCTGCCTGTGTCTCTCGTGAACAAATAAATAAAATCTTAAAAAAAAAAAAAAAAAAGGAGAGTCCAGGATCGAATCAGGCCGTCTTGGGCCAGGTGTCCATCTCTGTGCAACCAGCTGTGACCAGGGAGGCAGGATCATGTGACATCATGGCCAGATGACGAGGGCAGCCCGTCATCTGCCCCTTGCCCCCGCAGCGTCCTTCCTCTGATATTTCCACAAGAGGGCAGGTGACCAGGTATGGGTGACAGCTCCCCCTTCCTCTTCACTCCTCACACTGTAGCATGCATGCTGCTTTAAGAAGCATCCCAGCCCAAGAGAAGCCTTTGGGAAGGAAGCGATGAGGTGTGCTCTGACTCAAAGTCTTGCACTCACACAGGGCTGGCTCCCAGAGCCTCATGAGAATGTGTGGCATTGTGGTTTGGCAGCCCTGGGGACAGACAGATCCAGACCAGAGCCCTGGTTCCACTTACCACCTCAACAAGGCCCTCGGACCCCCTGATCGTCTTTCAAGCTAGGACAATGTTGGTATTTTTCTCACCAGATTTTATGATGAGTAACCAAGCTAATGCTTGTAGGGGACCCAGTAGGCCTTCAGTATCATCAACTGTGTTAGGAATAACAGAGACACTCCCCAGGGGAGAATCATTAGTCCACATCTGGAACATCCCAGGGTTGGAGAGGGACACACCTTGAAACTAGATTGTACCATTGTTCTTCCAGGGGCCACCCTTAATAGTTAAGTCTGAACACTCGACTGAGTTATCCCGACTCAGTGTGAGTGCCTCCATACAGTACTCTCTTCCAAAATGTAACGGTCCTTATTTTTTTATTTTTTTAAAGATTTTATTTTATTTATTTGAGAGAGAGAGAGAATGAGAGAGAAAGAGTGCTCACATGAGTAGGGGAGAGAGGCAGAGGGAGAAGCAGACTCCCCCGCTGAGCAGGGAGCCCGATGTGGGGCTCGATCTCAGGACCCCGGGATCAGGACCTGAGCCGAAGGCAGACGCTTCACCAACTGAGCCTCCCAGGTGCCCCTCAACAGTCCATCATAGGGCAACCCCGGTGGCTCAGCCGGTTTAGCACCTGCCTTCAGCCCAGGGCGTGATCCTGGAGACCCGGGATTGAGTCCCACGTGGGGCTCCCTGCATGGAGCCTGCCTCTCCCTCTGCCTGTATTTCTGCCTCTCTCTCTCTCTCTCTCTCTCTCTCTGTCTCTCATGAATAAATAAATAAAATCTTAAAAAAAAAAACAAACAGTCCATCATATACTTAAGTTGCCCTTGAACGCTTCTCAATAGTTTTACGGATGTTTCAAGTTGTAGTTTTAAATTCCTTTTAAGCACCCACTGAGTTTTGACTTTTTGATCAATTTCTGTACTTACTAGAATTTTCACACCTCCTACCTTCCTGTTCTTCCTGCTGCCAGGCCTTCTGTCATAACCCTGAGTGGCAGGGTGGCAGGGAGAGCCGCGGCAGTGCTGGCTGCCTGAAAACGCCTTTATTCTGCTCTTTCCTTTCTTTTATTGTTAAGATTTTATTTATTTATTTATTTATTTATTTATTTATTTATTTATTCATGAGACACATAGAGAGAGGCAGAGACACAGGCAGAGGGAGAAGCAGGCTCCAGCAGGGAGCCCGATGCAGGACTCGATCCCAGAACCCTGGGATCACAACCTGAGCGGAAGGCAGATGCTCAACCACAGAGCCACCCGGGCGCCCCTGCTCTTTCCTTGCTGTGATAGATGTCTGCATATGAGATTTCAAGGCCTCCGTTTTTCATTTCCAAGATTTCTATTTGGTTCTTTTTCAGGTGTGGGTTTTATTTTCACCCGGTTTTTCCATAAGTTCTTGAACTTTTGCAATGGAGCTATTTGTCATCTGGGAGCCACCAGCCGGGCTGCCCAGTGCCCCTGGCAGTCCAACCCCCGGCTCATCGAGGCCCTCTCCTTCCTGACAGGTGTCTTCATCTTCTGCTGGTTTGCCACACTCTACTTCCCAAGCCGTGGTGCCATGTCCTCTTCTTCTGGCACTGCCCGAGTCGACCAGGTCCACACCACGTCGCACGAATAGGAGACCTCCGTATGGTCAGGCTGGGAGTTGGCGCTACCTTCTGGACTCAGCTCTGACTCCCTGTGTGACCTCAGGCTGCTCCCTGTTCCCTCTGGGCTTCAGTTTCCATGTTTGTATGATGGGGCTGGGGTGGGAGGAAATGGGGACCAGGTTGGACCCACCTAGCCCCAAAGGTTCCATCTAGATACTTCTGTGGGTCCTAGAGTCCACAAATCCAGAATTGCAGGAGTCTATAACCTACAACTCTAAGACCCCTGGCAGCAGAGAGCGATGCCCCCCATCCCTACCCCCTACCTTCATAGCAAAGCAGCTTATCTCTGGCATTGGCCCCTTCCTGATCTCGGTAATAAGGGAGTCTGTTGCTCGCACAGCCCCTTGAAGGAGCCTAGCCTCTCCCCTCCCTCCCTCTTGCCACTACCCTCCCACAACCCCACCTCTGGCTGCCTGTCTTCATCCCCTTAGGCACTGGGGCAGCTGCAGACGAGACCTTTGGGCCTGTCTTCATGGATGGGCTCCCACTGTTCAGGAGGTGCCAGCCCTCCAGCTATCTGTGGACACTGAATTTCAGGGAATGCCATTTATTCAGTAGCGGGTGTGATGCCACAAGCAGGCCCTCTCCCCACTCTGACTGCCAGATGCGTCCTGTCACCGTGGGGTGGAGGGCAGATGGTCCAGGGCTCTGCACACTCATGGGCTCAGGGGCAGAGCAGGGGGGCAGCAGGCTGGGCTGAGCAGAGACAGGGCAGGTTCCCCCCCCGCCCCCCCCCCCCCCCAGAATCTGAGCTCTAATCAACAGACCATCGGCCTCACTCACCAGTTTTCAGCCCAGGCTGAGCCTGACGCGGTTCAGGCCCTGAATAAATATCTGTCGGCTAAATAGATGGATGTGTGAGTTTGACATCAGCCCGACAGGATTCTGAGCCAGGGGAGTGTCTCAGATGCCCAGCTTGGGTATGTGTCACCCCAGCGACCGGGCCTCTGTTCCGCAATATTGCGATGGTTTCCTCAGAAGGAAACAGAAGAGGCAGAGATAAGAGAGAGAGAGAGAGAGAGACAGAAAGAGAGAGAGTGAGACAGAGAGGGAGAATTAATAGGTAAACCAACGCAAAGAAAGAAAAAAAGAATGGGGGGACAGAAAGACAGCAGTCCCCTGGCCAGCCCCACCACACGCATCATACCCCAACTCTAGCCATAAGTTCCTAACCACTGGGGCCCTCTCACCTTCCTTACTCACCCCTGCTCTTGCCAGTGTACTTTGCCGAGGTGAAGCACCTGCTAGCAGTGAGAAGCCACTACTCTCAGACCATCCCCCACACCCCCCCATGCCCTCTTTTCTCCCTCCTCCCACCCAGCAAACAGATGAAAGACAGGAAGGCAGGGGCCCTTGCTTTATGCAAGTCCTTGTGTTCCTGGAAGAGAAATTCTAGGGTGTGGACAATTGCAACAGTCGAGCCACATTATATCAGTTTTTGTGGACAAGTTTGGTGGGTTTGGGGACTTACTTTTATGGGCATCTATTTCTCACGCTGGAGGGGTGGGCTTCCTTACCCCAAAGTCTCAGAGTTTCTTTTTTTTTTTTTTTAAAGATTTTATTTATTTATTCATGAGAGACACACACACACACACACAGAGAGAGAGAGAGAGAGAGAGAGAGAGAGAGGCAGAGACACAGGCAGAGGGAAAAGCAGGTTCCACACAGGGAGCCCTATGTGGGACTTGATCCCAGGTCTCCAGGATCACGCCCTGGGCTGAAAGCAGGCGCCAAACCGCTGAGCCACCAGGGCTGCCCAGTCTCAGAGTTTCTGAACACAAACCTGTGTGCTCCATAGCCGCTTCTGTGTCTGACAGGCCTGGGTTCAAATCCTGGCTCTGCTACTTAGGGCTACTTAGGGCTGTGTGATGCTGAGCATGTCACCTTACCTCTCTGAGCCTCAGTGTCCCCATCCATAAAATAGGGATCATTGAGTTCTTGCCTCGACCCGAGAGCATTAACTGAGGTGACAAAAAGGAAAGAGGCTGGTACTGACACAGCAGGAATTAGAAAACCCTGTGGCTTAAAGGAAGATGAGGTGGAATCTTTGTGTGATGCACAAGCCTTTGAGGCCTGTATGTGACATGGGAGGGTCCGAAGGGTTAAAGCTCCCTTCCAGATTCCTTCTAAAGCCCTGCCAAGTGGACTGACCCCACGTAGGAGGAGGACATAGAAGCCCAGAGACGTCCAGCAACGTGCCCAAAGCTACTCTGTAAACGAGGCTGACACAGAGCTGGGCTTCTCTGGGCTGCCCAAGCTTCCTCCTAGAGCATTTCCTGGGTTCCAGAATTATTGCCTCAGCCCTGATCCCCAAGTCTCTAGGGAAACACTGGGCTTTACCTTTCCCGGTTGAATGTGGGGGCTACAAAACCACAGCCACCAAATGGGCTGGAGTTCCTGATGCAGATGGAGAGGGAGATGTGGTATTGTGTTTAATGGTGAGGATGTGTTCCTTTTCCACTGACTGTCTACCCCAGGGCCAGGCAGGGGCAGAGGGGTTGCGCTCCCTCCTTACCTGGGGTTACTGTAAAAGTGGCTCCGAGTGCCCAGCTGAGCACGTGCTAAGGTCAGGTGGAGCTCTGGCAAAAATGGCAGAGACCCAGTGCACATGGATGAGATTCCACTGTCACCACACTACCGTAGTAACAATCTACTGTGGCTGCACCATGACAAAAAGCATGGACTCTGAGGTCAGCCCGTCTGGATCACATTCTTCCTCTGCAACTTGCATTGGGCCAGTTCCTCACCTACTGAGCCCATAAAGCAGGTATAACAGTAACTGCCCCACAGAATTGATGAAGACTTCAGGGAAAGCCTGGCTGCAAGGCTGCCTGGTGTCTGGACCCCTGGCCCTGCACAAAAGTGACTGAGCCAGAGCAAAGCTCTGGCCATCGCCTTATGAAGCTTGAGGTTGCAGTAGTCATCTGTGTGCCACAAGAAGGGTCCCCCAACATGCCCCCACGTCTCGTTGTTTCCGAGCTTCTTTATTCCTTGTATTTTTCATTATGTTATAATAAATGTACAGGAAATAAGAGGACTTACTGGCTCTGTGCTCCCAGATGTATAACTTAAGATCAAAAGACAAATTCATAGGTTAATTCACAAATTAACCTATGAATACAATTCAGTTCGAATAAAGGTTTTATTTTTTTTTTAAAGATTTTATTTATTTATTCATGAGAGACACACAGAGAGAGAGAGAGAGAGGCAGAGACACAGGCAGAAAGAGAAAGCAGGCCCCACGCAGGGAGCCCGATGTGGGACTCCATCCTGGGACTCCAGGATCAGGCCCTGGGCTAAACTGCTGAGCCACCTGGGCTGCCCCCAATAAAAGTTTTAAATGATTTTTTTTTTAGACTTCCCAAAAATGTACTGTCTCATATGGAGGCATATCGGCATCAAATAGCATCAACCTTGATGAAAGACAGTGTAGAAAGACTTGACCTGCAGATGTAAAGATATTACAAGGCCGTAGTGGTAAATCCAACATGGGGTCTGAGCAGGGATAGGCATGAAGACCAGTGGACCAGAACAAAGGGCTGAGTGGTAGACTTATACACACCTAAGGGACTTAAGGCACAACAATAGTGGCATCACCAATAAGGCACAGATAGTCTGATGATGATGTTGGAAAACTGGCTCATTATGTGAAGAAAAATAAAATATCCCTACCTAACTCCTCATCCAGAAATGGGCTCCAGACACAGTAAAGTTTCTCAATGGAATGGCAAAATGATAAAGTTAACGCAGTTAAACATATTTGTGACCTAAGGACAAGGAAAGACTTCTTAAACAAAAAAATCATAAGCACAGACCCAAAGCTGGTAAGTTTAATTCCATCAAAGTTAAGGTTTTTGGTTCCATGGAAGGCACCACAGGCAATGTTAGCGGGAATGGGACAGGGTGTGGGGAAGGTGTTTGCAATACCTGAAACCAGGGATCAACATCTAGAAACCTACAGATCAAAACAAGGATACTTCCTTAAAAGAGAAAAATGGGCTGAGGTTTTAAAAGGCCATTTTAGAGAAGGAAATATCTAGACATAACAAATTAGCCCATGAAGACACATTAAAAATCATCAGTGATCACAGCGTTGGATGGTAAGATGACAGTGGGACCTCACTGTATGAAACTGGCAAAGGGTAGGATGGGAAGCTGGATAATGTCAACTGCTGGCTGGGGGAGGGGCGAGGGTACTAGGCTCTCTCAGGCATTGTGGAAGCTGGGTAGATTATACATTTCATGGCCTGGAGAAAACAGGGTGCTGCCGCTCATTTAGCAATCCTCCTCCTGTTTTTTTGCCCCAGAAGAACACTTTTACAGGTCTAGAAGGGACACGGCCAATGATATGTGTGGCGTTATCTGTAGTGGAAAAGAAGGAGTTGGTAGGAAAGGGGGTGGGGGGGGGCCCATCACTGGGAGAATAGAGTGGATCCCTATCTTGGACACACCGCAATATGGAATTTATCTGAAAACACAGTTCTTAGTGAAAATATAAGAAACAGAGGAGGCATTAACACAATATGTACACAAGTTAAAAACAACAGCGTGCAGAATGGTGCTCACTTTGGAAAAAAACAATGGCCCAGAATAGGTGCCTATGACAGTCAGAGAATGGAAATGGGTATAGGGATAAGGGAACAAATAAATACACAAAAGAAGTGAGACCAGTCTGACATGCCACCTGTTTACCTTTCCCCCCCTCCTTGCTCACTATCACCCCAAACAACTTCCCCAGAGGTAATCGCAGGACACACTGCCCTGTGACCTTTCCCTCGGTTTTATTTATCCTTCATGCTTTATTTCTTGTGACTGAGTAATATTCCCGCCAGAATTTATTTTTTATTTTTATTTTTTTAAATTTTTATTTATTTATGATAGTCACACACAGAGAGAGAGAGAGGCAGAGACATAGGCAGAGGGAGAAGCAGGCTCCGTGCACCAGGAGCCCGACATGGGATTCGATCCTGGGTCTCCAGGATCGCACCCTGGGCCAAAGGCAGGCGCTAAACCGCTGCGCCACCCAGGGATCCCTCCCTGGGATGGGAGACGCCAGAATTTAAAATCATTATTTATTATTGAGAATTGAGGTGATTGCTATGTCTCCCCCAGGAGCAGCAAATGTCCAACCTTATCAGGATGGTGTTTCTGCCAACACGTTCCACCCCCCACCACTCCCCCACAGGGCTGCTTTACAACTTTCAAGGCCCCTCCCTCCAATAACAAAAAAGTAAAAGTATATTTTTTCACTGCATTGGTACAAAGACCAATATAATTCAGGGTGGACTTATAATTATATACTTGTGATTAGTCTATTCATTTTTTCTTCTGAATTTGAAAGATTAAAATTAATTTTCATGGGCCACTAACGCTCTGGATGAGTTTTCCCTGTTTTGTGAGTCGTAGATGAAATCAGAAGCCCAGCCTGGGCTAGAATCCAAGACTCAGTTAGGTAGTTGGGTATTATCTACCATGATAAGCGGACACACCAGGTCCCACACTGGTTTCCATCTGTCTTGATGAGGGCCACACAGAACATGCATGCGGTAGAGGCAGTGGTGGCCTGGTAAATGCTTCACTGGGGGGAAAAGTCCTGGCGTATAACATTGGCCAATTTTATTTCTTTTCTTTTTTTTTTTTTTTTAAGTAGGCTCTACACTGGGTGTAGAGTCCAACCTAGGGCTTGAACTCACAACCCTGGGATCAAGACCCAAGC